ACTGTAAACCTACTATAGATCTTGGAATCCAGAGTCTTGTCCATTGTGCTCCATCTGTCCATTGGTTCCACTTAGCCACAACTACTTATTTACTCATTTGATGATGCCAAAAGAAGGAAGATTTTCACTGATGACTGTAAAGGGAGGCTTCTTGTGTGTACATATAAATGAATAATTTCATGAATAAGAATCAACACAAAACTGGTTCCTGAGTCAGAGTTAAACTTATCCCAGATTTCCAGTTTCTCTAAGCTGCTATGCCAGTCCATCATTTGTCAGTAGCCACTCCCCCTCCCCTCAGCACTCTTCTTTCCCCTGTTGAATTTGGTAATTTGCTGCAATGCCTCACAGAACTCATGAACTGTACTTACAGTTAAGTAGTTTATTGGGGTACAACTCAGGAGAAAACTCAGAATAGGATACAATTTAGAAGTAACAGGATACAACTCAGGGTCAGGATCAACTTGGAAGTAACAAGATACAACTCGGGATACAGGATGCAGTTCATAGCAGGACAGCTTTCTCACAGTATAGTTCCTGGAGCAAAAATGCTGCAAACCAGTGCAGTTCTTCATCAAGAACTGTAGACAGTTCTCTTACCATTCGGGCCTCTCTGCCGTAGTTTCTCTTTGCCACTAACTGGCCCAGCTCACAGCCAGTGTAACAATCTGCTCAGCTCTCTCAGGCCTACTCTAAGCCATGTAGGCCCTCTCAGCCACTGGTCTGCTGCAGAGCCCCTTCCAGGCCTCTTGCTGTCTTCATTGTTACAACCCTTGACCCATATTACAGCTCTTTCAGGAGGTTGCCTGTGCAGGAACCTCAGGTCCAAACCGCTCCACTCTAGGCTCTTCTTGGTGTTGAGGTTCCTTCCTCCTTTCTCCTAAAAACCTCTATGGGGTTGGCCATTTATATAGGCAAACTCCTTGTCAGTGTCAAAGAATGGCCCTCCCATGAACAAACCAATCCCTGTTAACCACAGATTACCCAGTCCTGTTGAATGGCTTTACATACCACCTTTCTGACAAGTAACCAACCAATCCCTGAAAGCTTAGTAAAATAGATCAATCACAGGGTAGACTGCAGCTCAATCAGTCATTTTTGGCAGAATTACAAACTCTGGGCCAGAAAGGCCATATATAAGAGAAACCCATTGCACTGCAACATATAATCAATTTACATGCGCATCAGTGTATTACAGCAGACTGGGGACCTCTTGCCCCCTTCCCATGTGCCGCTTTTCTCCTCTCTATCAAGCAGCATCTGAAAATTTGAGAGTGCAGACCAATCCCTGTAGCCTATAATGCTAAATCTTGGACAAGTTATATCCCTGGTAACTAGAGAAAGTGCTACTAAATCAGCACTAGTAAACAGTTTTGTGTTTGTTCTTCTGTTTCCTTTTCTCTGATTATAATAGTGATACATACTCATTTTAAAATTTTATAAAATACAAAGAAGGAAAAAGAACACTCAAAATCTTACCTCTGTAGTAGCTTCAGTTAACATTATGAAGTGAATGTTTATTGTCATGTTTTCTTTGCATATTGTGTTTTATATAGTTGAAATCTGGCTGTATACAAAATTTCATCTTATTTCTAAATATTCACACTTTGTCATGATATTCACAATTTTTATATTTAAAAAACTGAGTCTTAGAAGAACAATCATATTTTTAAGGGTATACTGAGTCACAAAGTTACAGAAGATCTATCTTATGCCTTTATTGAATTTTTTTTTTTTTTGTAATACCAACAAAAATTAATGTGCTGGTAATACACGGGTAACTAGTCATATCAGCTTCCTTTAAGTGAAGCACTCACGTATTTGGCCTACAAATAAATTTACAATGCCAGTTCGCTAACTCATCACTGAATGGTAGCCGAATTTCTTCTGATGTTTTGTTCTGTATATAGAAGAGTGTTTCTTAACTTTTGTTGGTTAGTTGTTGGGTCACAGACTCTCTGAGAATTCAGTGAAAGCTATGAACCTTCTTCCCAGAAAAATACATATTCACACAAAATACTAATTATAATGCTAATCAGTTATGATATGCCAAGTACTTAGCCAACTGCTTTACATGTGCTATTTTATTGAATCCTCATAGCAGCACTTTTAGGAATGCACCGTTAATTATTATCCTCATTTTTTAGATAAAGACATTGAAACATAAGGAGATTAAGTAATTTGCCAAAGGCCATAGAGCTAGGAAGTGGAGAGCAGGGGCTCAAGCTCTGATTTTTATGGCCACAAAGGCTATTCCCAATTTTAGGGAACTCATGAATTCCCTAAAGCCTGCTTATTGATACTCAGATTACAAGCCCCTTAACTCATTAATGGTAAAGAGTATATGCAGTTAGTGAATCTTGCTATTTGTGTAACACATTTAATTAAAACACAAATATTTGTTGAACATCTACTATTTTGAATATTTGTTAGGTTCTGTGATATGGTCCTTAATCCTACTGTCTACATGGGAAGATAATAATTATGTACGTAAAGCAATGAGAAAAAATATAAATACGAAGTTGAATATATAGTAATTAGACATTCTATAAACTGTACCTGAAAATTTATATCTTTGTCATACCTTGATGCAATTGTCATTCATTGATTCCCTGATTTATAAAAGGGAAAATCAATCCAAAAGGCCACCATATCCTTTGGGAACCTGGTAGATTCAGTATGTCATAAAAATGAGGTCTATAAAATGAGACTCTGAAAACTAAATATGCATCACATCCAGATTCCTGAGTGGTTTCATCAGCATCATCTATTAGTCCCAGGGAGCATGCCCAATAATGAAATTCAAGAATGTGCAGCCAGCTCCCAAGCATTCCAGCTGTGTATCACCAGGTAATTCTCTTGAGTTGGACATATGTAGGGCAGCAGAACACCTTGATAGTTGCTGCATTTTGACTCAGGTAGGGTTCTACCAACAAAGAGGACGTAATAAATAAAAGCACATGGAAACACAGCTTCAAATGATGCAGCATAACCTGAGTCATGGGGGAGCAATAGTGATAACCTACCAACTTTGGGTGAAACCATCAGGCATGGGAAGCTTATTTAAGTTGATCACCTGACAGTCCATGCTGTCAAAAAGAGTAGCTGTAGCTATAATTCAGAGAACTAGTTTTGACAGGAGGATAGTATAGGAAAATAGAGCAAATCCTGTATATGAGGTTATCACTGATAATGGCTATTATAAGATATGAAGAGTGGATTATATCAAGCTTTCTATTAACATGGCCTTCATAAAGTATCCGCACTGTTTTAAAATTTTATTCTTTTAAAGCTTTAACCACCTGGGCTTTACATATGATAGAATTAATTTTAAAATGGCATTTGAATTTTCCTGTCAAAGCAGATACAAACTTAACTGCTGCTAATCATGCTGTATAGTTTATCTTCTTCCATTTCTGATAGCCATTTTTATTTGAAATGTCTAAAATAATATTTTGTGCACAGTTGATTAATATAGTTTTGCTATGTTTTAACTAATTTAATGAATTGTTTTGAAACTTCATTTCACATAATATTCCCATAATCCCTACAATCAAAGTTGTTAATGTTATTTTTAAGTGTTGCAAGGACTTTACTAAAACCCTTTATGTCTAAGAAGCTCAAGATGGAAAACATTTTTAAATAGCAGAAATTCCTATCATTGTCTTTAATAACTATTCACAGATCATCATTTGAATCTATCCAGCTATTAGTTGTTGGAAGTAATTTTCCAGGCATATATGCATATATCTTGATGGGTTTTATTTAATTTCATAAGAAGAATATGATACCAGCCCTTAAATTCAATCCTGGAAAAAAATATAGTTGAAAGAAAACATTACTCTTTCATATTTGCTTTGAGCAGAAAGGCACTTGAGTTGCTTTTGAGGTAAATAGTAGACTGATGTTAAATGTCCATCACACTTTGACTTCACAGACAGAACTGAAGACATAGTAGCTGTCTAAATTTTTAATTTACTTGTGTGTGCATGTGTGTTGGTGTGTGTGTGTGTGTGTGTGTGTGTGTGTGTGTAGGAAGCTTAGACAAGACCTTTTGATTTCATAATAAGCAGGACTCAGGGACAATAAAACTTGACATTCGTAACTGTTACTAGTATTTGTCCCTATAGCCCTATGCAGTTATCTTCTTGCTAACGATGTAGAAGCCACAGCCATAAACTGAGCATGCACCCAAGGCATTGCTGTAAATTGCAAATAACGTTCATATGGTCTCTTTGAGCTAAGACTAAACTGGGGTAGAGGGAAGTGAGGAAAGAATTTTTGAGAGTGGAATAGAAGTCAAGGACAAAGAATACACCAGAAGGTCAGACATGTGCAAATGTTCTCAAGTTTTTGCAGTGAGGTTTATTCAGATGGGTCTTTTCATATCTGCAAATAGTCCTTTTCTCAAAAGCCAAGCGCTGGATTGGTGCAGCCTCTGCTGCTGAGGTGTGTGTGTGTGTGTGTGTTGGCAAAAATGTGCTCATGAGATAATACAAATAATCAGTGAGGGAATAATTAATGATGTGGCAGGGAATATTTTTTGATAAATGCTTGAGGAATGAGGTGACAGGCGTGAAATTAGAAAATTCCTTCAGCGATCTAAAATATAAATAGCTTTCGGAACTGAAAAGAGTTTCACAGCTGAAGATTTTATTGTGTTGAGACGAAAAACTTTTTTCTCTCTCCCCCCTCCCTCTTCTTTGCAAGTTGTTTGTCCATTCACAAAACAAATACTCTGAAGCCCAGCGCGGCTCATGGGAATAAATTTCAGGTCAAATTAGTACAGTTTCCTTGCTGTCAGGACGCTGGAATTAATGGTGTTTTGATGACACGAATTTTGAAGGGCAAACAAAGAAGCTGAAGGGAGAGAGACATGACTCCTTAGAAGCTTGGTCCTCCTCTCCCCCAGCCTCTCTTGTCTTCCCTGTCATCCGTCTGCCAATCTCCCTGTCCATGGTTAGTTAAAGGCGCTTTTTATCCTCTTTTCTTTCCCACAGAGTTTGCCAGATCCGGCCCGGTGCCTGGGTTCCAGGAGGACACGCTGCAGTTGGCCTTCATCGACTTGAGACAAGTAAGTCTTTGTGTTTTTGTTTTTTGTTTTTCTTTTAAGATGTGTGACTGAAGACCATCAGGTCTTAAGGAAAAGGGGAGGGAGCGGGGATTGGCGTTGGCGATTCACACTGGAGACCTAAGGGGTTTTCCCTGTGTTTGAGGCCACCTCTTTTATTTAGCTATCTGGGATCCTTAGCAATGGTGGAGTTAAAGATTTTGTGGGTAGAGGGGAAGGCAGGGGGTGGGAGGAGGGACCCAGAGGGTAGAGAGACTCAAGTGACCCTCAAGTGATGTGACCCATTGTGCTATAGTTGGCTTCTGCAGACACAGCAAAAAGATAACACAGCAAACCAATGCTAAGCAGGTGCACTGACGCAGACTGCCTATATGGAGAACTTTTGTTGGCAGATAGTGCAGGTAGCAGCATTTAAGAAGAATGAAATATTTTACATTCTAGTTTGTTGATTTGGCTTGTTGACTTTTTCTTGCTGCCTTAAGTCTTCCCATCCCCTCTTTTGTGGTCAGCCATGAGTGTGACTAAGTGGTCATTTATGAAGATGATTAGCAAAGGCCTGACCAAGTCATGCTAATCTGACAGGCAGCCCTGTTATAGTGATGTTATGAAAGCTGGTATTTAGGCATACCTGAGCTTTGGCAGGCCCATCTGACAGAAAGAACAGTTCTTAGGGCTATTCCTTGTAGACTGAAATGGATTTATTGGTAGGCCTTGGTGATTTGGGTATAGAGGAGCAGGATGGGCGGGGGCCCAAAGAGGGAGAGAGTTAACTAGACTCTGTCATCTCTTCACTCTGAAGATGGATGGGATTGGATGGAAAGTGTGAATGAAGTAAGACTCAATGACTGATGCTTCTCTACTACTAAAACAATCTTTTTTTTTTTTTGTCTGTTTTAAAGAGGGGGCTTGCTTTGTTTCTCCTGCCATAATGATGCAGTGCCTCTTGTTTTCAGAGCTGACATAGTTTGCATTCTGAAAACTTTTAGATGCCCAGGGTATTTCTTAAAGCTGTAGGACCCCTTGTATCGATAGTCTCCTTACCACTGTGACTCGATTCATGCTGGAACAGCTTTTAACCCATAATGGATGGCCTGAGCTACCCCTGAATCCTTGTGGATGGGCAGTGTAATCTGTCATCTGATGACAATTCTGGAAAGCCCTGTTAAGCAGAAAACAGAAAATTGTGTCTCTATAGACCCGCCAAAGTTTGAGGATTCAGGCCGCGTCTGAGAAACGTGTGTCAACTTAATATTTGGGGGCCGGGATGTGGGTTCTCCTACACATAAAGGCTTTCCCAGCATGGTCACAAATGGAACTGAGTATCTCTTCCCACACTTCAGACACCCCACCTGTGGATTCAGCAACTCAGCTGAGACATTCAGGTTTTAACCCTTTGATTGACGTAAGGTTGAAAGACTCAGAATTTGCTGTAGGGTTTTGTGGGCTGGTATCTGTTGGATTTTTTCCCCTCTCTTTCTTTTCAGAAACTTCTAAGCCATTTGGCTTTTCTTGGAAAGCAGAAATTGAGCTTCATTGGAGTAACACATCCAAGGAAAAAAATTTTTCTCTTCTCATTATTCATGAGAAGGAAGTGTGGTCATTCTCTCTAGTTTGTGGTCTTGGTCCCTATGGAAAACATCTAGTGTTCACAGAAAATGTTAACTCAGGGAGTAAGTTAGAAAGCACAGCCAAAATAAGGTGGATCTGAGCAGGGGAATGAATGCTCAAGTACTTGTGAGCTCTCAGTGAGCACTGTTCTTCATGCTTATGTTCCTATTTTCTATTACATTTTTGCTTCCAGGATTTCTTTAATGGTGTTTTAACGATAGAAATAAAAATGTCAAAATTTTACTAATAATGAAACAATATGCCTCTTCCTATTGAATCTGTGACCTAATTTCTACTTATGTCTGTCACTATTAAAACAGCTCAAAGGCATAATTTTTCTAAGGTAGATTATTTGAAAAACTTACCTGGCTCTCAAATTCAATATTAGGAGGTTCCAAGTAGATTGAATCATTGTGAGAAAAACAATTCTTCCATATCCTATGCTGAAAATATTTGTCTCTTTGCAGTTCATCTTAGATATTCTCAGAACATATTTATAGTGGGTATCCTTTTGAAAGGAGACTCCTTCTGAACTCTAGAGATGTTCAAACTATAAATTGAAAGCCTGGGGATAAGTTTCCAGAGGAGATAACTTGATCTCAAATGAGACATGAGTAAGTGTTCTTGAATATCTGTCCTTTTGCATATACTCTCCAGAATCTTAACATAGAATTATTAAATTTCAAGGTTGAAGGCTAATCTTAAACTCATGTAGTCTATAACCTTTGGCTTGATGCTTGAATCCCTGTATGGTACTCCATACTGTTCTTGAATATTCCCCTTGAGGAGAACTCACTGCCCCAGGGCAACCAAAGCAAAAAGTTCCACCTTAGGACAATCTGATTATTAGAAAGCTATTTCTTAAGTTGGCTAAAACCTTTCTCCGTTTAACTTTGATCTATTGACTCTTCATATTTTTATTAATGCATTCCCAATGTGGGGGCTAGGCTTTCTATTCCTGATTTATTGAGTGTCCTATCTGCTAATAATTGAGTATTTTTCACATGTAGCATCATTACCTATCCCCCATCTAGTCCTTAAGTGATTAACTTTTATGGACCAAAATTGGACATGTTACTCTTACTAGTCTACATTTTTCTTCAGTCGTGTTACAACAAGACAGATTTTATCATTCTAGCCTGTGTAAACCTTTTTTAGGTTCTGATTCAGTAATCCAGCTTATTAACTGATTTGAACATTATGCCTTTTATAAGTCAAAGATAAACATATTAAACAGGAATGGTGGAAGTTAGAGGAAGAAGCTAAAGTTAAAGCAAGTTATAGCATACACACCCATGCAGTGCAGCACGGATATTTTCTTACTGTCATTGAATGTGTTTGCCTCACTGGTATATGAGTCTGTTCATTCTGATCATGATTTCATGTTCTCTTGCTTGAGAGTGTTTTTCAGACCCTATCAACTGAACAGTAGTTTAAAAAATACTCCAAACATGGAATAATAAAATCATCTCTATATAATGCAGAGTGTCATTTAAGAGAGACAGAATTTGATTAGGAAGCAAATTAGATGCATATAGTAAAACTATTCATCCTTTCTCATCTGTCCTGTCTATTCTCAATTTTCTAATTCCTAAGGAAAAGAGTGAGATGACATTTTGAATGAACAAGCTTTCATGATATTTTACATTTGTATAGCACTTCAAAGTTAAAGTACATTTACATACATATCTCATTTGTCAGATTTCTGGGTTTAGAAAACCTGCTTTTAAAAAATAATGTGAATTAGACAGTAAAAATCAAAATCTCCTTCTTTGACACTCTCTATTCTCTGTATTTATGAGTTCATGGAAGTAGGATTGCAGTACAATTTCATGTGCTTATATATCAAATATATATGTAAATTCTAGCAAAATACAAATTTGGGTTAATGCTAAATCTTTAGAAGGACAACCTGTGAGCTTATTTATTAGCTATCTTGAAGTGGCATGTGCACTCCAGGTAGTAATAATCGCTAGCCTTTAATGGTTCATATTGGAATTTGCAATACAAGGCCAGTAGTGGGTTCTCAGTAGTTGATTCTTCAACAGTACTGTGGTTAGTATGTTTCTTCCCAAGTTAAACATTGAGTGTATAATGCTAATGAATACCAGAATATAGACTTCAGTTAATTTCATTTCAGTTTATTTTATCAATCTCTGAGTGCCTGCTGTATACAAAGCATGACCTAAGTGCTATGGAAATACACAAATGAATATAATACAGTCTCTGCCCTCCAAGAGTGGAGGGGTGATCAGCAAATGTTTGTTTCTAACATGAGGCACGCTGTGATAAGTATTCCATTAGAGGGGATGAAGTTATTGTGTATGTTTCAATTATTTCAGCAGCTTTTGCTGCACAACAAATTACCCCAAAACAATAATTGACTTTAAATAGGTACTATTTTTTATTTGGTTCAAAATTTTGCGGGTTAGCAATTTTGGCGAGGTTCAACCTAGTTCACTTATACTATGATGTAAGCTGCTAGATTGGCTGAGGACTGGCTGACCTAGGATGCCTCAGCATACCATCTGCTGTTCTCCATGCCATCTCTCATCTGCCAGCAGCTTAACCCAGGCTTATTCACATGACATCTTGGCCGGGTTCCAAGAGAGCAAGACAAAATGTACAAACCCCTTGAGGCCTATACCTGGAACTAGCAAACCATTACTTCTACCACATTCTATTGACCAGAGCTAGGTAAACACAAGGCCAACCCAAATTCAAGGAATGGGGAAATAAACTCTGACTTACACTCTAGTTGGGATAAAGACTTATATATAAACAATGCAATTAGAAAATTATTCAGTATTAAATCAGGAACCAGATTGTATCTTTAAGTGCGAAAAGAGGCTATAAAGTGGAGAGGCCTTTGCAGTTATAGGCCTGAGTAGTTGGAAAAAATAGAAAGTTAAACTGAAAGATAGACATTGGTGAGGGAAGAAGGTATTTCAAGCATAGAAAATAGAAGATTTAAATTTTGTTTAAAAACATAGGAGTGTGTCTGTGTTAGTTTTACAAGGATCTCGATTATTTTTCCCCCTTTAAGTTCTAGGCAAATACCAGTACTATCAAGTAGATTCTGACTCTTGGTGACCCCATGTGTGTCAGAGTAGAACTGCGCTCCATAGGGTTTTCAATGGCTGATTTTCAGAAGTAAATCACCAGGCCTTTCTTCCAAGGTGCCTTTGGTTGGACTCAAACCTTCAATCTTTTGGTTAGCAGCTGACTGCATTAACTGTTTGCACCACCCAGGGACTCCTAGTTTTTGGCTAATTTCTTTAAACCCCCATTTCTTAATTTCTTTTCTTTCTTCCTTATTTTTGCTATTCAACTTCCCCGTGGGCCTCTTTATATGTTCCATTCTTCTTCTCATCTAATACTACTTATTGAGGGCT